TCGATGTTAACCAACGTTTCAGAGGTCGTACTGCCTCCATCATCAGAGTATGAAGATTTCTGTCTGCTGGGTTGTTGCGCTGAGTAGTCTGGTCGATGTTAACCAACGTTTCAGAGGTCGTACTGCCTCCATCATCAGAGTATGAAGATTTCTGTCTGCTGGGTTGTTGCGCTGAGTAGTCTGGTCGATGTTAACCAACGTTTCAGAGGTCGTACTGCCTCCATCATCAGAGTATGAAGATTTCTGTCTGCTGGGTTGTTGCGCTGAGTAGTCTGGTCGATGTTAACCAACGTTTCAGAGGTCGTACTGCCTCCATCATCAGAGTATGAAGATTTCTGTCTGCTGGGTTGTTGCGCTGAGTAGTCTGGTCGATGTTAACCAACGTTTCAGAGGTCGTACTGCCTCCATCATCAGAGTATGAAGATTTCTGTCTGCTGGGTTGTTGCGCTGAGTAGTCTGGTCGATGTTAACCAACGTTTCAGAGGTCGTACTGCCTCCATCATCAGAGTATGAAGATTTCTGTCTGCTGGGTTGTTGCGCTGAGTAGTCTGGTCGATGTTAACCAACGTTTCAGAGGTCGTACTGCCTCCATCATCAGAGTATGAAGATTTCTGTCTGCTGGGTTGTTGCGCTGAGTAGTCTGGTCGATGTTAACCAACGTTTCAGAGGTCGTACTGCCTCCATCATCAGAGTATGAAGATTTCTGTCTGCTGGGTTGTTGCGCTGAGTAGTCTGGTCGATGTTAACCAACGTTTCAGAGGTCGTACTGCCTCCATCATCAGAGTATGAAGATTTCTGTCTGCTGGGTTGTTGCGCTGAGTAGTCTGGTCGATGTTAACCAACGTTTCAGAGGTCGTACTGCCTCCATCATCAGAGTATGAAGATTTCTGTCTGCTGGGTTGTTGCGCTGAGTAGTCTGGTCGATGTTAACCAACGTTTCAGAGGTCGTACTGCCTCCATCATCAGAGTATGAAGATTTCTGTCTGCTGGGTTGTTGCGCTGAGTAGTCTGGTCGATGTTAACCAACGTTTCAGAGGTCGTACTGCCTCCATCATCAGAGTATGAAGATTTCTGTCTGCTGGGTTGTTGCGCTGAGTAGTCTGGTCGATGTTAACCAACGTTTCAGAGGTCGTACTGCCTCCATCATCAGAGTATGAAGATTTCTGTCTGCTGGGTTGTTGCGCTGAGTAGTCTGGTCGATGTTAACCAACGTTTCAGAGGTCGTACTGCCTCCATCATCAGAGTATGAAGATTTCTGTCTGCTGGGTTGTTGCGCTGAGTAGTCTGGTCGATGTTAACCAACGTTTCAGAGGTCGTACTGCCTCCATCATCAGAGTATGAAGATTTCTGTCTGCTGGGTTGTTGCGCTGAGTAGTCTGGTCGATGTTAACCAACGTTTCAGAGGTCGTACTGCCTCCATCATCAGAGTATGAAGATTTCTGTCTGCTGGGTTGTTGCGCTGAGTAGTCTGGTCGATGTTAACCAACGTTTCAGAGGTCGTACTGCCTCCATCATCAGAGTATGAAGATTTCTGTCTGCTGGGTTGTTGCGCTGAGTAGTCTGGTCGATGTTAACCAACGTTTCAGAGGTCGTACTGCCTCCATCATCAGAGTATGAAGATTTCTGTCTGCTGGGTTGTTGCGCTGAGTAGTCTGGTCGATGTTAACCAACGTTTCAGAGGTCGTACTGCCTCCATCATCAGAGTATGAAGATTTCTGTCTGCTGGGTTGTTGCGCTGAGTAGTCTGGTCGATGTTAACCAACGTTTCAGAGGTCGTACTGCCTCCATCATCAGAGTATGAAGATTTCTGTCTGCTGGGTTGTTGCGCTGAGTAGTCTGGTCGATGTTAACCAACGTTTCAGAGGTCGTACTGCCTCCATCATCAGAGTATGAAGATTTCTGTCTGCTGGGTTGTTGCGCTGAGTAGTCTGGTCGATGTTAACCAACGTTTCAGAGGTCGTACTGCCTCCATCATCAGAGTATGAAGATTTCTGTCTGCTGGGTTGTTGCGCTGAGTAGTCTGGTCGATGTTAACCAACGTTTCAGAGGTCGTACTGCCTCCATCATCAGAGTATGAAGATTTCTGTCTGCTGGGTTGTTGCGCTGAGTAGTCTGGTCGATGTTAACCAACGTTTCAGAGGTCGTTGATGCCTCCAACATCAGGGCCATCTTCTTTTCATATGCTGTTTTATACTATCATGGCGACGGTGCGTATCTTTTCAGATTGTATACAACACATTTGACGCGCTGGGTATGTACATGGAAATGTAATCTTCCTTGAAATGCTAAAGTGGAGGTTCCATTGTCAGTGGGAAGTAAGATTGAAAGTTTGCAGACCTCTGTGCGCTTTAAACCACTGCTGCTCGGAACAGAACCACACTCGATTTTTGTTTGAAGAAAACTCTAGAGAGTAAACAGGATCACGAGGGTGAGTGGTAACTCCATCTTCTACATCCTCCCGGTTTCTTTCTTACAGATCTCTCACATTCGGATCCTTTACTCTCAGCAGTAGCGTTTTTTGGTTTACTTTATAGAAATATTCATGGTATACCACAAGAAATAAAACATTACTGAGGGTCCATTAATGATAATGTACAACGTACACATTGAAGCCGGGCGCAGTGGTTACATAAATCATTCGTTGGTGGAAAGGAGGACGTGCTTATTGTGTTACGTCTCCAAGGCACCCTAAGTCCCTCCCAGCTTTCTTTTTTCAGACGTAGAAGTAACAGGCAAAACCCTCATGACATCTTATAATCCTACACATAAGTAATCTGGTGATACGGCCGCTGTCTTTGAGACTCCAGACTGGTCTATGCATAGGCATTCGTTCTCGTCCTGACTCGGTCGTCAGAGCCTCGTCTGTGAGAATAGAAAATACAGTTTGTAGGTGACTTTGATGTTGTTGTTTTTTTTCGAAAATGAGGGACGCTAACAATCGAATCCTGACCGTTTTAGACCAAATGAATTTTTTTTCATCGCATTTAAAGAATGCAGAAACAGATTTTTTTTTAACTTTTTAATAATTATAAACCGCGTGGATTGAAGGGCCGAGAACTGTCGGTAAAAACTTTCAGACATTGAAGGCCGGAACATGCCATCAATTTGCCTAACTTCTTGGGTGTTAGATGATGATATTGGTGATTAAGTTTTCTAGCCTTTCTGTACGCAGACAGAATCTAAAATCTTATGTTTCTTTAAAGGTTGCAATTACATATTAAAGCAACTGGGTGGTCATATATTAACAGCAAACCGAAAAAGTACACGACAGCGTGTGACGAAATTATTGTACCAACGCGCGTTGTAAATCACGTCATTTCATAATTATGGCTTTACGTGAAAATACGTAAGTTATATTGCAATGTTAAATTTTGTATCTCATCTTATATGGAGCGTTTAGAATGAGAAGTTATAGAAGAGAGTTCTGAAGAGAGTGGCCGTCACTAAGGGGTTAATGAATTATTAACTCTTTGAAGCCGAAGATCGTCTAAATATTATTTATGAATTCAGTCCGTACCGCGAAGAAAACACTACACCTCACCATTACGAAAATCAGCTGGTTAACCCTTTGAAGCCGAAGCTCGTCTTCATAATATTTACGAATCCAGACCGTACCGCGAAGAAAACACTTCACTTAACCATTAGAAGTCGAATCAGGCGGTACCACATAAGATTTAACAAAAGAATCAAAGCCTTAATAAGCTCGGCAAAGCTCCATAATGAGGAGCTCCCTTGTTAAGATTATTAAGTCAAATGGTCGAGGTGGGTGGGGCATGCATTATCGTATGGAAAATGAGAAATTCATACGGAATTCTAGCCCGAGACCTGTAGGTAAGGTGTCCATTTTGGATACATAAACGTTGATGGGAGGATAATATGAGAATATATCTTAAATAAATTTTACCGACTCTGATAGGGCCTGTTAACGGGTCTCTCTGAATACTGTAATCAAATATTGTGTGCCTTAAGTTCGACCCTAATTTTCTCAAAAAGGACCCTGCACTATTTAAATTTGAGTTAACTGAATTATAAAAGGAAAGTGCAGAATTCACCGACCTCTGCCCCCGTGAAGTGGGAAGTAGAAATTTGATTTGCTGCGAACTTCCAGTGAAAGTTCTCTCACTTATGTCTCGATGTATTTAAGTGAGCGTGGATTTGCTTTCAGGCAAACTGCGGGAAATGAATTTATAGCAGGCCACGATCTCTGGGTTCCCAGTCTTTTTCAATATATTTTAGATAATCATCTTATTCCTTCATCCCTCCTAAATAAAATATACAGCTTAAACGAAAGGAATAAGCCACCTTGAAACCTAGGAAATGGTTAATATTAAAGTGGACCTTAAAATATTGGTGTGTAAGGAATTCATCTGGCTCGTTACTGGGCTCTTGTTAGCACAGTAGATCATATTCTATAATAGGCGGTAAACTTGTTAAATAGCTGGGCATTGGATTCTCAAGAAGGACTTTGTTTCCTGGAGATGGTTAATAGATTGACAGAAATAGTTTAAATTCAAGCTGACTTCTGAAATCTGGAGCTGGAGCGTAAGAAACTGTTTTACACCGAGTGGTAGTACTGGATGTGATTGATAAGGCACTAATTGGATGTTATGTTTGTCTGTATGTCTGCCTTCCGCCTGTCACTCCAGCTGACACCATGAAAATTTAGTCGGTCTCATATTTATGCTGACGCCTACGATATGTGGTTTACTGTTCTGTCCCAGAGTTGGCACTTCGGTTATTCCAAGCCTCATTGCACACAGATTGGAATTACCTTCAAAATTAGGCCAGAAATATTGGCTCGTTGTTTTTTCTAAACGCTGGTATTTACCTACGAAAATACACAGCGTCATGATGCTTCCATCTTTATCTTGGTCTTGCAAGTTGCCGATTTAAAAAAAAATCTTAAAATTCATTGTACAATGCAGGATATGTTCAAAATCGTTTTCCCGCTCGTAACTCAGTGTTTGTACAAATCGGTTTACGCGTGTTTCTGGTTCCAGAGACGGCTATGCTGCTACCGGTTACACTCAGTTCCAGTCGGCGTGTTAATGAAACAAATGACATCAGAAGAAACCTCCGTCTCCGCTACCCTAAGGACCCTGCTGAAGACAAAGAGTAAGTACACCAGTACTCCAAGCAACATACAGTCACATTATTTTGCGGTGGCCGCGAGCCTGCGAGTTAGGGGAGGAAATGTAAGAGTAGTGGGGAAGTTAGTCGTAGGTATAAGGGGAAAAAGAGTTAATGCGCGCATACGGATAGCTTTCTGAGGAAACCATTAACCGTTAATTACCATGACATTACATTACATTGGTTATCGTTAGATTGTGAGAATGGGCACTACGAAGTTCCTGCGCAGTTGAAACTCTGCGGCCACCATAAAATAACTGGACTGTACTTCTAGTGCAGCAACCCTGCCGTTCAGTTTTAAACACCTGCACGATTTTAGTGTTTAGTTTCAAATGGTACATCATTAAAAAAAGGCGCGTAAGTGAACCAGCTTTAAGGAGTACAGAATCATGTGGAGGAGTTAATAAGAAACTTGTAATTTAATGAAATCCATGCTTCTATCCTTGTCAAAATCTAAAAATGATTCTGATCTGCATTGCATTTTTCGACGATTGGGATTCGATTCCGGGCAAATTATTTTCTACGCCATCGCACCACCCCTCCCGCCCTCCCCCCCCCAACGATGTGATAGCCCTCATCAAACAGCACGTTATCACACTCTCGGTCCTAAGTTAGGGAATCATCTCTGACCGGCACTTGGCAAAGATAGTTGGAACTATGCGATATAATAACGAGAGGTTTGTGTTTGCGTAAACATCAAGACATATAAATATTCGAAAAACTGGTAAACGTCTTTGTAAAACCAACATGATGTTGTAATTATTATTATTTTAATATCTGCATCTTATCGGATTTCGAGAGCACACATATATGTGGGGGGTCTTATTGGAAAACATCTATTTGTAAGAACGAGAAGTAGATGGGAGGTTATCATTGAGACGGAGCTTAAGGAGACTTTTTTCGTGTGTATGACGTATTTTGTTGGAACTATTTTGTGCAGGGGCAGAGAGCTGTATTCAGCCGCCACAGAGTAATCACGTTTTAATTATCAAGATTGTTTTATGGCTGAATAAATGTCATATGCACAGAATCTGTAATTTTAATAAAAATGTCAATCAATGCAACAATACGCAGGACAATGGATTCATGTGGATGGGTGTCAGTCGTCCGTAAAACAAGCAAATGCATTTCGATTGTAGTTCTATTCAGGAAAATGTATAGCCTGAAATCAACTTGCATTCGATATTCACGTTTTTTTTAAAAGAAAATTAAATGGAAGTTAATATTATTCTGTTCCGTAATTAAATCATTCAAGTAGACGTAAAGACTTTTATTCGTTGTATCTGATAGACGGAACTATGAAAAATAGGCCGTTTATACCGAAAAGGAGATGCAAGCTCAGCGCATTAAAGATGCAGATAGGGGCCAGACGTCAATTCTGTTGGTGGAAATAAATAATTTTGAAGATAATTTTGTCGTGTTAAAAATGAAACATTCGTTGGAAGAAAACAATTAGCTAAAATCTGACGGAAATTCCGTGAAGGCAATGACGCGTAATGCTTTAAAAGAAAATAAAAAATTCTTTGGTTTTACTCGATATTCGAGCAAGGTGACAACTGTAGTGTTTTGTGTGCGTCTATACGTTCAGGACTTTACTGCTACAGGATGGATCGAAACAAATTATGTAGAAGGACGTGTCTCCGAAGCAGTAGTTACCAATCTCTTCCTTAAAAATTTCCCAGTGACTGGTTTCTGCCGGGATGATCGCGGTTCGATCCTTGACAGAGACAGGGATTTTGATGTGTACAGACCACACCACTGGGATCCACGTGTGGCATTCTGTTTGCAGCGGTTAAGGCGGCCGGAGGATGAAGCTGATAACTAACCTCTGTGTAGTTCCGAGGTTACGTCACAACATGGCTTTAATTTGTGGTGCTTAAAACAGGGATAACTTTTAAGTTTACTCTGTACGATTTCAAACTCTTTTTGGTGTTGAAGATGATTCAGAAAGTAAGATTAAGTTTGGTTTATAAGAGGTGTAATTTTAACCTTTTGTTTTGTATGGGCTGAAACTCGGTGTCGCAGATTAAGACAAGAACACGTAATGAGATTCTGTGAGAATGAAATGTGCTAAAGTACTGGATCTAGGATGGATGAAATGGTGGAAGGCTGGGTAAATTTGTATGAGGAGGAGATTTATAAATCATACTTAAAAAAATATATTAGAATGTTAAAAGCAAAGAAGGGTGAGATTATTCAGCATTAAAACATTACAAATGCCCAGACAATTTCAGTTGCGGAAGCCTGAAGGGGAAAGATGACATAAGCGTAGATGGGATGATAATATTAAAAAGACATTGAATTTGGAGGGTGTGAAAGGAATTCATGTGGCTCGCTGTAAGGATGGAAGACTGTTGTGAACACGGTAATGAACCTTTCAGTTTAATTAAACGCAGGGAAATTTCTAGACTGGTTTAGGTTACTGTCAGCTTATCAGGGAGGAGTCTTCTGTGTGGAGAAAGTCATTTGCAGCAGCGATGAGGGTCGCGTGCTGAGGTCAGGAACCACTGCCCTCGTGCAATATTCTTCTCAAAATGATCTTTCGACTGTGAACCTCAGGGCGTCATTTCTGCAAGGAATTACATCCATCCTCAGAACGTAAATACTATTAATCCAGAACTTATAAAATTGCCCGAAACGGGGAATGTCCTTCAGTGCATACTCACAGATTAAACAAGAATTTCAATAAAATAACTCCATATCTTCCTGCCTTCTATGTAAACCAGTTATCATTAAGGCTTTGACCGGGATGTTAAATCTTATGTGGAACCGCCTGATTCGACTTCTAATGGTTAAGTGAAGTGTTTTCTTCGCGGTACGGTCTGGATTCGTAAATATTATGAAGACGAGCTTCGGCTTCAAAGGGTTAACCAGCTGATTTTCGTAATGGTGAGGTGTAGTGTTTTCTTCGCGGTACGGACTGAATTCATAAATAATATTCAGACGATCTTCGGCTTCAAAGGGTTAACATATTCGCGAAGACGGGCACTGCATTCTGCCCTAAGCCACTTCATTGCATTCCACACACTCTTAAGGCCCTTTTTAATATTATCCTTTCATCTACGGTTAAGTTTACGGAGTGGTCTTCTCCCGTCTTGTGTTCAGGCTGATCTGCCGACACACACGTTCATCTAAACCATGCGTGATGGGCGAAAATGGAGACGATGAATCTAACTTCTTCCGTGAGTTTGAGGTGTTATAATAATAGTATAATAGTAGAATTGCCCATCAGGAATGATGGCAAAGTCTAAAGCTGTACTTTAAAACACATTAGCAGCACATAAAAAATTAAATCTCTGCTTTTCCTTCCTTGATTACTAAAGCTTCGAAGCTTAAAGACTTTCATCTGTTTTACTGATTTATATCGAAGTACGTGCACATAGAAGGCCGTGAATGGATGAACAGTCCTTTGTTTCAGAATTTTGTTTCCACAAAACAAACATATAAAGCTTTTAACTAACTCTGTATAACAAATTATCTTTATTTATCTTTGTTTAATTAAAGAATTAGGGTATTATAGGATTTCTAATTTACTGCAATCCGAAATATGGTATTATATGGAAGTTATAATAACTGCTATTAATAGGCCACCTTTATGATCATTACCATGGCAACGATTATAAACTATCCCGTAAACCCCACAACAAGCATAGCACAGCATATCAGGCGACGATTATATAACACACATTCATAAGGTTCAAAATCCCTTAACAACAGCAAATGATGGCCAGTGAGCCAACACTGCTTCTTATACTTATAGACAGATAGGAAATTGTACCGTGTTGATAACTTTCATACTAGATTTTACTGTAGCAGATCACGTGTGGAGATGTGAAAAAAATGTTCCGGTCGTAGTTTGACTGTTATTTCGTAATTGCGAAAGTTTTGATGAATTTTTACTCTCGTATATAACACAGAACTTACGAACATTTTGAAGAACATTAATTTATTTGTTTGTTTCTTGGTTATATATTTGTGTAAACTAACAGCCCTCTGGAAAATTATTTATATAGCGTTTTTTAAAATTTTCAAGAACCTCTTTATCGTTATGTTTCATGTTATAGAAGCTTTCTGAACGTTTATCTGAGGTTGTTATTTGATCGCTGGTGTAAAGACTTCGTAATTTATAACAATAGTTAAACGGCAGTGTGCATAAACTTTCAGTGTGGGAAATATTTATCCAAAATTCATGTTTATTCGGCCAATATTTTTATTTTACCGCTCAAATCATCCGCCTTAATTTTGGTTGCTTAAGACGTCTTAATGTAGCCCACAAACGCGTTGCTAATTACACTAACAAGTGTTTGCCGGGTCACCCACGTGTGTGCTCCTTCTATTACTAAGTTAGTGGAGAGCTTACTCGCTAATTTGGCCATCCTAGATAACGTGTTCAATGTGAGAAGTGGTTTTAAGTCTATACGTGATGTAAAGTATCTTAAATTTTTTTTCGTTCATTGGTTTTCTCTCACAGCTGATTACTTCCCGTGCATTGAGTAACTTGTGGTTTGACACAAAGACATCGCGAATAGTGGCTTCTACTGTAAAGACGCATTTATATGGCATTTTGAAAAATTGAATCGGTCATTTATGAATTTAATTTCTTTCGTTCCGTGGTTTTCTCTCACAGCTGATTACTAACCATGTGGTTTGACACAAAGACATCGCGAACACTGGCTTCTACTGTAAAGACGCATTTATATGGCATTTTGAAAAATTGAATCGGTCATTTATGAATTTAAGTGGATTGTGGTCTGCGTCGTGTGACTCATGGTAGGGACTGGTGGCGGGCTCTGGTGGGCGCGGTAATAAACCTTCGCGTGCCGTACATGGCGGGGGATTTTCTGGTTAGATGAAATACTTCTGATGAAGGACCCTACTCCATGAAGTTAATTTAGGCCGGATGTGATTAATCGTTGGATAGATTTCAAGATTTGAAATAGTCTCACGCCCAAAGGGCTTCTGATATTTCTGTGCTCTGTGTTTGTCAGTCACTTCATCCGTGTATTTCAGTTCTCAGCGTAATTTTCTCGTCTCTTGTTCATCTCTGAATCTCTCATGTTTCTAGATACTTTACTGTGGAGAATTGGAACGTGTTGACGTTATTGCGAGGTGCGTGAACGCACAATGGCCTTTGCGTTAGTAGTGTGTAAAGCTGTTTTTCTTATAACGACGCGTGAGATTACTGTTTATTTAAAAAGGATGGATCCAGTCGCTTCCAAACGAATAATTTTTTTTCTAGCGTACGTTATTAGGTCCAGGCAAACCTACAAAGAGGATATTTACAATCTAATGAAAGGAAAAGAACGAAAATAAAATGGGGTTAGTAAAAAGTAAATAAAAACAAAGCTGTCCCACTATACGCCGTGTAGGCGCTTGGAGGGAGAGCAGGTATAGCTCCTACTCATTCTCTAACTCGGCACTAGATGGGGTTAGTGGTCAGCATCACGTCGCAGCCGAGCTTTACACCTGGGATAGGATCCCGGTACCCATTGGATAGGAGGCTGGGTAGGCCCTATAGCTGGTCTGGATGCAAAGGCTAGAGGAAAGGTCTTCTGCCCCTGTCGGGGATCGAACACTGGTCGTCCATTCCGTGGAAAATGGGGTTAGTGTCAAAGCTTAAGACCGGGAGAAGTGTCAAGCTTTTTGTGTTGTCTCTGCACCATTAAGTTCGAGAGGATCAACTTACAAATATGAAGCAGTGTTACACGATTGAAGGCTCATATTAAGGCACTCTGACTGGATTTTTTTTTGACGTAAATACGTCTATATTTTAGGGTCAGTGTTATTCGGAAAAAATGTGTTACGAAAAATTGTTACGAAAAAGGGAAACGAAAAAGTGTAACTTCATTGTTATGTTACTTAGGAAACCTCATCTGTTTACTCAGCATTTTTGTTACCTAGGAAACAATATATAAAATTCCTTTCCGTATAGACGTATTTACGTCAAATTCTCCGGAACCATGGTTCAACTATCACTTTTTGTTTTGAAGTTTCGGTAAATTACTAGGGACATTTAAAAAGGACTCATTTGTTGTGACAGCTTTTTGAATATACGACATATGCACGTTACACAGTTTTATGTTAATTATCACCTCTCAAATCATAATGATCGCGTAATGCATTAAATAATTGTCAAGTTACGACGAAAGCTGTTGGTATGGACTTCTTTTGTGTAGCAACCAAATAAGATACATGGAAACACAAATAACTTAAAACAAATTTAATGTAGGGCTGTGGATTATTTATGTTTTTGAATCGTATGTTGATGCCCATAAATCAAATTTGTACAAACAGACGCTGTATCCAACTGCCATTACAGAGTGACACATCGAAAATACTGATACTTTGTCACTTTAAGTAATTCATTTCGTGAATTTGATGCAGTGCTAGGATTAGACGACACTTTCATTACAAGAATTAAGTCATTCGAGTGTAGATTAAATGAAGAAATGTTTAATGGGTTACAGGAGACGAATCTTTAGTCAGTGTGTTTTATCGGAGACGTAAGACCGTGAGTTCTCAATTCACGCTACTTTCGAGAAACACGTCGTAAACGAGGAGATTATCTTCCATGAGATGGTTTAACTCCAAGCTGATAAAGACCTACAGTAAAATGTTTATAAAGGTGGGTATAATGTTGTGTTGTCACTGTAAGAGACAGTGTGTACATCATTTTCAGCACAGACCCCATCGTTCGCCATGTTGGTTATTGCCTACCGAGTAAACTGGATACGCCAAAGTTCTTTCAGCGAACAGCGAATAGGCGCTTGTGTGCAATCAGACCCGACCTCGTCTGTCTGCTTTCTTAATCGAGGATTTCAACCCAAATGATTAGCGTCTGTGCTCTCTCACTCACAGCTACACAGTGCATCTTCCACGGCAATTTGGTATTCTCCAGCGATCATCTGTATCACTAGGTTCCATCGAATGCGTTTACAAAGTTTCAGAAACTCGTCAAGGATTGACGGAATCACAGACAGCCTCCGAAACGTCGGAAATCCACTTCATACTTACACGGCTGATCGTCCGAGAAGTGATTATTAAAGTTATTTGAAGACTCGGTCTCTTATTTTGTTGGTTAAGGTTCATTAATATCATAATCATTGCCCTTATGTTTTCCGATTACAACGGATGATAGATTCTTGGATCATTTGACGGCCTTTCCATCTTTGTACGTGAACGGTAGGTAACTATATGTACCACCAATGACATTCATGATAATCAGTCTGTGGATCGAGAACAGGAGTACCAACTGTTCAGACGCGACTTTCTCTCCAGTAAAAATAAAGTGGTTCTGACCGATATTCTGTGGTGGAAACGTTCGAAGGCAGTTATGATAACAGCACAGAGGCGAGTTATCTATTAACCTTTTAATACACAGTGGTAACTTCCTTGTATAATCTACATTTTCATTCGGTATAAATAAATTTTTCCTGCAGGAATGTGTATATGAGGTGAGTGGTAAATTATATCTTCTATCTACATTAATATTCTGTTTGCTCACAGAATTTATTCGTACGGTATTCTCACAGTAAGCAGCGAAGATTTTCTTAAGAAGTGTTACCCAATGGATCGTCCTAAATGAGAGGCGTTGTTTATTCTGTGAGGCGGTAACGGAATTCTTAAACATTATTTATCAGAGATTTTTGCTTCGGTTCTCCGAAATTTTGCTTGTATCAAAATACTCGGTATGGAGGATCCAGATTCTTCTGGTGGGGTTCATTTCAAATTCTAAGACACTTTTCCCCACCGCTGTTTCCCCTGGGTCATTACGAGGTGGTAAGAATTGTTGTTTCTTTTTGAGGGTATCAGCTGACTAAGATCTTCTAGTCTCAAGAGATTTGTCAGGCTTCGATTATTTTTATTTCTACTTCTGACCCTGCTTCGTCCCCCCCCCCCCCTTTTTTTTTTTTTTCTATTGAAACTTTCAATTTCATCCCGTGCGACCTTAATCCACAGTACACTGTCACAAGATTGCTTTGCGATTTGAGTTCTTGAACAAAAGTTTTTTAGACGTCAAATCCAAAACTTTAGATGGTTTTGACACATATCATATAGGCCTACGTGGAAAATAAATGCATAGGAAGTTTAGTATAAAAACCATTATGGATAGAAGCCATATAAAGTGGAAACATTTGTATGGGAGAGTGACATTAACGTAGGTTTGGTGAAACAGGTTGTAAAGACGTGAACTTGATTTAGTCGGTTACGGGTTCGGTACAGATGGTGGGCTTTTGTGATGAAGGTGGTGAACTTTCCCTTTCGTGTCCACAAATAGTCTCGAGAGAGCGTAAGACCGAAATCAGCAGTAGAGACATCTGTGGGAACGGTCGGGAGTTAATCCTGTTTTAAGTGACGGTCTCAAAATTTCCCTCCAAATTTGTCATTTAAATTGTGTTCACAGGCGACATTAAAAATCTCAGTTATTTACGTAATATGCAGATTCAAAAGACAATGAGTTGATGGATAAGGAAGGGATGAAGAGAACTAGAGGAAGATATTGGATAGATGTTTAATGGCGTTGGTAGGTGGGACGAGGGTTGTGGATAGGTACATAAGATCGAAAAATTGTAGGCTGTTGAAGGCGTCACCTCGCAGTTCGTATGCTCGTGGATTTTCTATCAGACTGTGCGATGCCTCACGTGACAACTCGCGAGGTGGTGGAGGCTGTGAGGTCGAGGGTCGGTCGTTGGGGTCGAATTGGTGGTCCTGTTCGGGCTACAGCACTGTACATAAAACTGTCGCACAGCCCTGAAATGCTGCTCTGCAAGCCATGCCCTCAAATGAGTGATGAAGCATTTCGAGTTCTGTGCAGGTGGTTTACGGCAGTCGTTGCATCCTTTTATATGATCCTGAAGGATGGAAGAAAGAAAGAAAGTTTACATAGAAGGGAAATAAGTAATTATAAAATAAAGCAACTCCCAGTGAAAGAATGTGAAATGTCTCCTCGTTCGTACTTCAGTGGCATCTCAAGGAATTAACAAATTTTCATCTTGTAGAAGGCTTCCGCGATTGGGTTCATAAAAATGTTCATGTGAGTACGCCTACATCATATACATTTTCAGAAAATATATATTTTATTCGTTCTTTCATTTTGTGGAGAGTTTTGAAATTATTGAGCGGGTATTTGTTAAGTGCCACCTTAAAATTGTGGTTACCTGACCGGAGACCCTAGACTTAAATGGGCAGTCAATATTAAAATGAATCTCTCTAAAAGATATTACGAGGATGTCGACTGATTTCTTCCGGCTCGGGACAGGATTAATTGGCGTTGAGAACGCGGTGTTGGAGTTCAGAACGGCTCGCTGCTGGACCATCTACTGAGGCAGATGATTATAGACCGCGCCCTCAAAGATAAAGCTTTTAACTTTTAATTAAGGTCGTGAATTTCTGCACTAGCTGAGCGGCTGAAGAAGGACTCTGCATCAGCGACTTAGTTTATTTAAGAATAAGCTTCGTTGTTAATGAAAAATGTAAAGAGATGATGCGATTCACTGCATTCATAATATCTCAAATTTGGATATCGCTTCGTACGAATGGCGAAAGACTTATGATCGTTGAAGTACGTGTCCAGTTTAGTGAACAAACTCTTAAGATATTGATTGATTTAACGTAATTAGATGCACGAACAACATACATTTTTATATTCGTGTTGAGATGTATCAACAGTTAATGAACATAAATTTCAGCGAGATACGTCTTGTAACATCGCGAAGGTCGCGTTTGGAACTCAGTAAACCCTTGTCCAACGCGAACTCGATTATACGCGGTGAAACACTCTGTAATAGCGTAAGAAAAATACCACTGCTGTTTGAAAATGTGAAGACGGTTCGGATTTTGCGTTCATTTTTCAACAGGCCCAAAATTCACCTGCCAAGTTTAATGATTTACTTCACATGAACGATCGGGTATAAAAATCTCATTCACATCAGCGTCACAACCCAATTATTTTACGATGTGTTCAACTTCGACCTCTCGAAATTTCATACCAAAGTTTAACACCCCACTTGGGATCCTGTTTTGCGAAATTTCTCGACGAGGTTTCAAATTGTGTGCCTCTCCGCACAAACTTTAACGCCGAACTTTAGCTGGAAGGCCTTTTCTGGGTTTCCAGATGATGGAATGTTGTATTCGTTGATTAATATTCACGGCTCGGTAGTATACAAAATCGAACGAAGTCCGATAATAAGCAAGCTACTTGGGTTATTCAGCGTGTCAACAAAGTTTCTTCAAATTATAATCACTCGTTGCCGAGAAAATTGAGTTTTAAAGTTGGCAGGTGAATTTGACACCGCTCGGTGTTTGTACGCATTTGTACATTACAACTAACTTGTTCTGTTTCATTCAGGGTGTGTAAGGGTGTGTCTATTCAGACTCGACTGTCAACCCACGATTTCCTCCTCTCTGTACACAGGACAACACAACGCGGACAAACATCCATGGCTTGAGTGGGATTCGAACCCACGGTCCCAGCGACCAAGCGCGGCCACTGCGACCCCCAATAAATCTAGATAGGTTGAGCATTAGGAATTGGCGTAGCATTATCGATATTTTGTTTTAAAACCTCGCTTTGGTATTCCACGGTCGTGTTCCCGTATCCCCATTAATCCCATATAATATTAAGTTTCACCAAACGCGCCACTTTCCAGGAACGCGATGAAGGCCACAGTAATTCATCTCTCGTCGCCACTTGAGACATTACGTCCGTCTTACCCCACATTGTCGTCCATAACTCTGGCCTCAACTTAGTTTTTAAACCTCATTACCTTCACAAAGAGACAGCAATAAAGATTAAAATTCTTACGTCGTTAAAAGGTAAATTATATCACTTGGCCCTGACCGTGAAATAAAGTCTCAAACTGACTCAGGAATGCGACGTTGGCTGACCTGCAGATAACGCTGAAGACTGTGGATGGCAGTTCTAAAAGAATTTGACGTCGCCAGAAAATAAGACGTTGATGACCTGTCTTGAGCTCAGTCTCTTAAGTGTCTGGGGGTTTAAAGACGTAACGTCTCACAAGTTCTAATAAACGGAAGCTCACGATTCAAACTCAGAGTACTCCGTAGAGAAGCCAAAGGACTGATGTGCATTGTTCATCAGTACAGTGGATTCCGGTTAATTGGGACACATCGGGACGAGAAAACTTTGGCCCAATTATGCGGAGTTCAAGTTGAAGAGTTAAAAAGGTTTGTTCTTTAAGATTTCTCCCAAATAAACGGCTGCCCCGATAGCCCAGTTAACCGGAATCCACTGTGTTTGTTGGAGGAAGGGTATAATGTCAGGAGCGGATGGCCGAAGTATGTAATCAGACTTGGAACAGCGCTAAGTTTCCTAGGCTAAATCTCTCCTCATTACAAATGGCAGTGTGGCATTTCGTTCGTTTGGGAGCCGTCAGGAGCTCTGGAAACCTGTGACTGCGGTTGGAGGACTATTGCTATAATGCGTCGATAAATTTTCGATATGTGAGGGGCTGGAGATTTTCCCACGGCAAAGAAACTAGTCGCAAAAATGAAAGAGCTGCAGATTTGAAGCCACCAAAGATTTCACGTTATGAATATTAAAGAGGATGGGTCCCGAGTCTAGGGGATAAAACTGATATCGTAGCGGCAATGAAATGTAATCTTAAAACATTTCTCCCAATATTTATTTAGTTATTTTTTTTATATCTAAATATATAAGCCTTGTCTTCGTGCATTCTAAGAATATATCACCGTAACCAATGAGTTCGAAGATCTATTACCACGCCATTTTAGGACCCGACATTCAAATCGCTCCTTTTCAAAATATTATTATATAATGGTGTTATTTGTCGTAGGAAAGTGGAAATTTGTGACCACTTTATAACTGTGTTCACAGTTCGAAAGGTTAGGTCATTTGGCCGGATTTGGAAGCCAGTGGCTACAGGTTACAGAGGTTCGCATGATTGCTTATTGCGTGTGACTGACATCGTAAAATACAGAAGGTCTTCGGAT